TTAAAAAAATACCATCAGAAAAGTCATATCCACTGACACTATCAACAGTGAGCCCATTTCTCTTTCATTGGCCATACTGGGCATGTGCAGCCTTTATACATTTTACTGATCTATCAGACAAAAAGTAACATTTAAATTTTGTCCAGCTGGTTATCTTCCCAAGGTGCTGCTTTCTGGACACCATGAGTAACAATCAAGGGCTGAAAACATGGCTAAGATGGTCTGGCTATCATACTCCCAGACACACTGCATGAACTCTGTGTGTTTGGAGCCACTTAACCCTTCCAGGCCTCGATATTTCACCACATGGAAAGGAGGATTTAGACTGAATGTCCTTAAACTTTCTTTCCAGTTATTAAAAAGGGAATGATGGCGACTGCACCATATCAGTCTCCAGTAGACACTGCTTTTGACTAATTCAACAGCCATCCCCAAGCCTCTTTGCCTGGCCTTACTCTAGAGGGGGCTGACAAAGCTCCAAGTGTCCTTTTGTCCTCTCTTTTGGAGTCAAGGGGTAGCCAGTGTTACCAAAATCTGGCCGATGACACATAAAGGAGGTCTGTTCGGGTGCTTCTAGAAAGCTGTTTGCATTTTTTAAAGGAACAGGCATAAGCTCACTGGCTCTGTCTCTCCCTTGCTCTGCCTTCAGTGCAGAGGTGACGCCTGGACCCATGGAGCTGTGTGGTAGCTTTGTGTGTGTCAGCTAAGCAGAAAATGTTGTCCAGAATCCTTGCACAGACCCAGGTTAGTGTTGGTCACAAGAGACATGTTGGCATGAGAGATCCGAGAAGCAACAGAGAAGTAGCATCCTAGTTTTTCTGCTCTGAAGGAGAATGCCAGGCTCTAGGCATGTTAGTGGTTTTCACACACTCCCACTAATCTGTTGGCTTACCTTCCTGCTAGGGTCAGTGCCCAGACTTGTAGATTCGCCATCTCCTCCTGTAGTTTCTTCAGGTCTGAAGCCAAGTGCATCTCCATATCATAAAGGGGCCAGCTTTTTCTGCAGGGCAGACACTACTGGGGCTAGAGGTAGGATGATACCTGCAGATCCAGCCTGTCCTCAAAGACTCAACTATTCATGAATTCTAGTTTGCCTCGTGGTTCCAATCTGCTTTTGCTCTCCTCTACAACCAGCTTTCTATCCTGAGCACCATTCTAGCTGAGGTTCAGACTCAACTCAAGAGCCAAACACATCAAAACCCCTGCATGATCTCCTCCACCAGTCCCCACATCATGTTGGATCTAAGGCAACACTGTCTAACTCTAACAGAACTTCTGCAATAAAGGAAGTATTTTGTACATTAGCTGCCCTGTAGCAGATGTACTAGTCATATATGGCTTGTAATATGCTCAGAGCAACAAATGTACCCGGAAATTCTAAATTTTGTGGCTGGAGACATGGCTCACTGTTTAAGAACACTGGCTGCAAAAAATCAATAAATAAAAAAAAGGAGTTATGTTTTGAAGAAGCAGCACAAAAATTTGCCTCATGAAAAAAAAAAAAAAAAGAAGAACATTGGCTGCTCTTGCAGAGGATCCAGGTTTAGCTTCCAGCACCTGGTGGTGGCTAACAATCGTCTGTAATTTCAATTCCAGGGGACGAACCTGATGCCCTCTTCTGGCATCCATGGGCATTGCACACATGGGTGCACTTACATGCATGCAAGCAAAACATTCATACACATAAAAATAAATTTTTAGGGGGCTGGAGAGATGGCTCAGTGGTTAAGAACACTGATTGTTCTTGCAGAAGACCCAGGTTCGAATCTCAGCACCCACATGGCAGTTAACAGCTGTCCATAACTCCAGTTCCAGGAGATCCGACAGCCTCTTCTGTCCTCCACAGGCATTGCACAACACGGGTGCACTTACTTACATGCAGGCATAACACTCATACACATAAAACAAAAATGATAAATACTTAAAGAAATAAATTTTTAAAAACTTAAAAACTAAAATTTTACTTTTAACTAATTAATATTTAAACAGTCATGTGGCTAGCATATTGGGCAGTGTAGCGTTTGTGCCTAATAATAAAGTCTACCTTCTTTGTCACTCATAGTGACTCTCTTTCTCTATTGAATCTTGATTAGCACAGCAAGCAACTTACAGCTTCAAGGGGGAGAGCCTGGAGTCAGAAAGCCAAAGTACAAGGAATGACAGGGTGAAGGATGAGAAGAGCTCAGCAGCATGCAACCTAAAAACTTTGCAAACAAGAAAAAATAGATTCCCTGCAGAATGTCATCTGTCCTTTCAATAAATTCTCTCTCTCTCTTTCCTTCAGTGACTTTTGTTTGCTTCAGTGAGTATTGTGATCCTTGTCTTGGATAATAAAGGACTTAGATGGAGTTTTTGGAACTATATTTGAAAAAATGTATTTATACACATGGAAATCATTAAGTAAAGATTTAAATGAGTGTTTTGAAAGAGGTAGATAATGTGAATTGATCTATAAACAAGAATTAATATTTGCTTTCTCCCTACACAGGAGATTTTTCCTTCATGCTTACTTTTGCTTAAGAATGACCTACAGTAAGTAATTTGCTTTCCAAAATAGTTCTTTGAGTTCATGGATACATAAAGGAAAACTGAATTTTAGATTCTAAGTAATATGTATCACAGTTCTTCAAAGAAACAGAATCAAGTGTGTGTGTGTGTGTGTGTGTGTATCCTGTATATACAATCATATGCCACATAATGATGTTTTGGTCAACAATGAACTTCACAAATAATCATAAAACTGCCTAACAACTACTTTCTCAGACTGTATTTCAGTCCTTAAGTGACATGTGGCTGTCTATATGTATGTTTACTTATAAAGTTGGCGTAGCTTGAAGGGATCTCAGACCTGGAGAGCGGATGGTACCGATTGTTGTCAGTCCGAAGGCCTAAGACTCAGGAGTGCCAAGGGCAGAAGACCAATGTCTCAGATCAAGCTGAGAAACCACCTTCCTTCACCTTTCTAGGTCTATTTAGGACACCAACAGATCGGATGAGGCCCACAACACTGGGGAGGGCCATCTGATTTAACTGGTCCACCAGTTCAAATGCTAAGCTCTTCTAGAAACACCCTTATAGAAACAGCCAGAGATATTATTTAACCAGCTTCTGGTCAAGTTAACACATAAAATTACCTATCACGTGGTGTTCTCCAAACACAATGGCCTCACAAACAGGAACTAAAAATTAGCAAAGCCTTATGGCTCAATACTGGAACTGGGGGCATTAATGTGTTTTCTGTTAAGAAATTCTAGACTCTGGATGAACTGAAAGTATATTAAGATGCTGACACTAAAATTAGAAATGGGAAGAACTAGCTTTTAAGCTGCAAGATAAGATTTGGATTTACAGGAACCAATCTGATGGTATAATTGAGGAACTAGGGATAACAAATTAACCTATCTAGTCAGACTTCTGAAAACATGAAACACAACAAAACTGCTTACCCTCACACTCCTGTGTACTCCCATGCCCTTCTGTAAAGTGTGCATCCCAGTGGAGTCATTGATAAGATATGAGCACCCAAGGTTTACAGGGCCCAATTCGGGCTTTCTCTGGCCACATAGCCACCCATAGGTAGGGACTGCTCACTGAGACCAAATGCCCCTTCTCTGTGGACAACCTTCTTACACCGGATATCATGGTATTCTCTGCTTAAATCTTTGCTCCAAGCTCAATTCCAGGACTTCACACTGGATTCTTCCCCAGACTCACCCATGGGTCTTTCACATGCTAGGGGTGTACATCCCCAGTTCTGGGGGGTGACCTTTAGGGAAAGGATGTGCACAGAGTTTGGCTATCAGAAACTACATTGTTCACACACCTCTGTGAGAATCTTCTCATAGTGCATGGTTGAGTTGGAGTGGATATTAGTAAAATAAAAGCAAAAGGGTTTGGGGTAAGGATCTAAAATTGTACTCAGGTATCCATTAAGGTCAGAGGAGTCTGTGGCCATGTATCCATACAGTGAAAAGCTAGTGACAGGTATCTAGGAAAAGTTCAACAAGAGGCTTTTGTTGTAAGTGGATTGTGAAAACACAAGAGGTTTTAAAACATTTGAAAAATAAGCACAGTGAAAAAAAAAAAATCCCATGATTTTTAAATCCTTTAATGGTAACACTGCAGTGCAGTATCGTGCCGAAAAGTTACAAGCATAGTTACAGTGCTTTCCTATCGGAAATAATTTGGAATCATGTCATTTCCCCCATTGATCGATACGAAATAGGACAAGGTTGGTGGGGTCGGGGGGAATAGTTCACATGGAGTGGCTAGGTTGATGAGGATGCTGGCCTGCAGTATGCAACTTGAAAGAAAATGGGAGGAGTTTTGACACCCCCTTGTTGCCCATGCTCTACAAAGATTAGAGACTGAGGGAATGATTGCTGCGGTAGGCTCTGCAAGTGACCCAATAAATCATGCTTGCTTGTTTTGTTGGAAACCCCCTCTCTTCTCTGGTCCCTAGGCCAGAATCAAGGTAAGCAAAGTCATAGAGAGCAACTTGTGCTCTGCAAGCAATCTTCAACAAGATGACTTTTTTTTTTTTTTTTTTTAAATAGGTCCCTTTGCAAACCTTTCTGTCTCAGGGCTCTGTTTTTCCCCCAGGTGAGTATGTAATTTCTAGCAGCATATAAGTTACTCACATTGTCTGTCAAACTGGGCTTTTTCAAATTTTAAATATCAGTTCATTTTCCATCACTGTAACTATGACATCAGGTGATAAGCAACCATTTTTGTCAGTTTCATTGTGAAACTGGCGAGTTACCAACACACTACCCGGAATGGGTCTTTCTGATGGACTCGGGCAGGGTTAACTGAACGTGAAAAGATAATGGCTGAACAACCTGTCGACAGTTTCTTACAATACGGAGTTTGAGAGAGAACAATAAAGCACAGGCACGTTCAGCGAACATGATTGTATACAATTACAAGAAGCATTCCTTTTTTTTTTCTTAAAGGTTGCTTAAACAAGTGGTTGTATGTTATGGTGCAGGAAAGGCGAGCGAGCAGCAGGCCACGAAATGGTGTCATGGTTCGGTTCCTTGGATGGACAGACTTGCTTTTCACTTCCTTCCAGTTTTTGTCCCGCCCTCATTGGGTATCTTCCTGGGGATGTCTTTTTTTTAAAACCCCAAAAAAGCACTTATTGGTCTTACTTTAAACTGTCCTGATGTCCTGATGTCTTATTTCCTCTGTTCTCTCTATCCCATCAGACTGTGTACTGCTAACTTCTCCACTGTTGGTGAGTTGTTTACTTTCCTGTTGTCCCGGCTCTATGGCTTTCTGTGCTTTCTGCTAGATACCCTGTTCGAGTTCCCAGGCCTCTGCGGGGGCTAAATGTTTCCTAGCTGAGCTCAGACTGTCTAGCAGTTTCCTACCGGGGACTGCGAGGGAGTGAAGGCCAGTGCTCCAGCTGGCTGCGGGGAGCGCCAGTACACCCGTGGTGGGCACAGAGTGGGCGCTGGGACCCCTTTCACTGCCCGGGTGCAGCCTGGCTCCAGCGGCAACCCTCAGGGATGGCACTTGCGGGGTCTGAACGCCAGTGCTGGATCCGCCCCCGGACGGCGCGGGCGGGGGCAGCCGCTCCTCTCACTGTGGCCAGCAGCGGTGGCTGGAGACCGTAAGGCGCAAGAGCCTCGAGGGCGACCGGATGTTTCGGGGAAGCGGCCACTGGGAGTGCGGCCGGAGACCTGAGCGAGGCTGCCCCTGGCACGAGCTGGGGGTGGGGGGGTCTGGATTTCGGTCCCTCCTCTTTCTTTCTGGGTCTTGGAGCGTTCAGCCTCTCAGACCCTCCCAGGTACCGGCCTGGAGAGGAGAAAGCATCTCTCCTCCGCGCCCTCCACCATGGGCAATGCCTCCAATGACTCCAGTTTGGAGGACTGCGAGACCCGGCAGCGGCTCCTCTCCGACGAAAGCCCAGCCATCAGCTCAGTGATGTTCTCGGCCGGGGTGCTGGGGAACCTCATCGCGCTGGCCCTGCTGGCGCGGCGCTGGCGCGGGGACACCGGGTGCAGCGCTCGCGGCAGGACCTCCATCTCCTTGTTCCACGTGCTGGTGACCGAGCTGGTGTTCACCGACTTGCTGGGCACCTGTTTCATCAGCCCGGTGGTGCTGGCCTCCTATGCGCGGAACCAGACTCTGGTGGCCCTGGCTCCCGAGAGCCGCGCGTGCACCTACTTCGCCTTTGCCATGACCTTCTTCAGTCTGGCCACGATGCTCATGCTCTTCGCCATGGCTCTGGAGCGCTACCTCTCCATCGGACACCCCTACTTCTACCGCCGCCGTTTCTCGCACCGGGGGGGCCTGGCGGTGCTGCCAGCCATCTACGCGGTCTCCTTGCTCTTCTGCTCCCTGCCGCTGCTGAACTACGGGGAGTACGTCCAGTACTGCCCCGGGACGTGGTGCTTCATCCGGCACGGGCGGACAGCTTACCTGCAGCTCTACGCCACCGTGCTGCTTCTGCTCATCTTCGCGGTGCTCGCCTGCAACTTGAGCGTCATCCTCAACCTCATCCGCATGCACCGTCGGGGAAGGAGAAGCCGCTGCGGACCCTCGGGCAGCGGCCGAGGTGGCCCCGGGTCCCGCAGGAGAGGGGAAAAGGCATCGATGGCGGAGGAGGCGGACCACCTCATTCTACTGTCCATCATGACCATCACCTTCGCTGTCTGCTCTTTGCCTTTCACCGTAAGTCGCTTGTTTGCACAGCCGAGTTGTGCGCACCCTTCTCAAACTCTTGCCTCTCATCCCCCCCTTTTCACAGCCCTGAAAATATTTTGCAACTTGAAAAAAATGCCCTAATTTATTAAAGAGCTATATCCTTCCCCTCTTGCTTCTTACCTTTACCCCATTTCCTTCCTCTCCCAGTCTTGGTATATGGGCGTCTCTTTAACGCTTCTCCTGCAGTACTGCAGGATCCCAAAAGGGAGCCTTGACCCTCCTCTTAGCCTGCCCAGAGTCCATCCTAGAGTCATAAGCCCCTCTTTACACAGTTTCTTTCCGGTTGTTGGGTAGCATTGCTTGATAACTGAAGAGGAGGGAGATCCTCCAGGTTAGGGCGATTGACATTCTTTCGATCTGATCAACAGGAGCCCAGTTTGCTGGCTCGTAACTCCCATCTCTCTCTCTGGTACCAGTTCTCGCTTTGCCTTCTGTTTCTCCTGGGCGACATAGTTCCCTACCCTGCGCATTCGGAGTCCCTGGTGTAGAACCTCAGAGCCTTTGTTATTTTTTCCTTAGGACTTTTAAGCTCAAAAAAATGTAGTTTACAGGCTTCCCAGTTTACATATTCAAGTATAACGCTTTGTGGCCACGAAAATGCATGACTCTTTCATAGAGATAATCAGAGGAAAAGACAGTTGCTTAGAGGAAACCCTGGCTAAGCTTTGGCCATCCCACACAGGAGACACTTGTAATCTTTTACAAAATATTCTCTTGATGTCATTGTCAGGAATACACATAGATGTTCTTCATTTTTATGTGTGGACACAAAGCCACATGCAGCAATATCTGGTACATGCCAGGGAATGGGAGAAAGGGCTGCCCAGGGAATCTGAAGGCAGGAGCCAGGGTTCCAGCACTGGTGCAGCATCAAGCAGTTAGCTCTAAAACAAGTTCTGAGCTTCCGAAAATCTAATGTGGCCTCTTACAGACAGCTAGGAACTCAGAATTTGGGAAAGGAAGGCACGGCTGGTGCTTGGCATAAGCAGATCTGACTTGTAGAAAGTGGAGAAATAGCTCTTTCCTGCCTCCTACCCTCATCACTGTCTCTGACTGGCTCAATGCATCCATCCTCAGGGATGGGAAGGGATGTAGATGTGATCCCGCCCCCAGGAGCTCCCTTCTCAGCTGTGTTCTCATTGCTGTGTTCCTGGTTGTCTCACACTCATACCTCATCCTCTGTCAGGGGAGAAGCTGGTCTGAACTGGTAAGCTACACTTAGTGGCAAATGAGAAGGATCTGGTCAAAAGTGCCCCTCTTAAGTAATGTAGCAGGACTACTAGAAGGTGGCCCCTTCCTTTGCATCCTAACAGGAAAGTTTGTGTTGTGAACTGTTGGCCTATAGAACCCAATGCAGCTCCTATGCCTTGGTTTGGTTTGGTTTGATGGGGTAGAGGCTTTTAATCATGTTAGGAGCCAAGTCAGGTTTTGGGGATTGCGATAGGATGCTGAGCATTATCTGTGAAAGAAAGCACCTCAGGTCTCTCTAAACAACAGACTTCAACTTGGGAAAAGTAAGCCATTCCTTACTGGGGGAGTCCCTGTCTTAGGCTGGTAGGAATTAGGATGCCAACCCTAGGACTTTTATCTGTCTTAGTGATTATATGTATAAAAATACCTCCAGCTACGTAAATAGCCTGGGAATGGGCTCGGGGCATCTGAACACTTGTAAAAAGGACTGTTACTCCCCTTCCTAAGCCATTGAAAGGAAGCAAGCAAAAAGAAAAGGTCTCCCCTTTGACTATAACTGGCAAATTGCAAAAAGTGTTATTTTAACACTAAAGACAGCAATTTTCAACAGACTCCCCTATGTTCATGTAAGTTTTGCCTTTTATCAATCACTGATGTCAATCATTGTCAATGTTGATTTTTAAATACATATTTTAAAATATGTAGTCTCCTTTTGATATTAAGCTAGAGATAGCTCCGACCAAGAGGGAGGACAGTGCTAGAAGTCTATTAGAAAGGATGAGGAAGTAGAGGTATACTTTGAAATTACACTTTTATTTCAATTGCCTATTGATGGTTGGTGGGGGTGGGACACAGAGATTATGAAGGGATTTTAGTTTTACCAAACTACCTCTTAGAATTGATACTGTCAGCAGACTATGTTCTAGATTTGTTTCTGCAAGTATTCATGGTAAAGAGTCCCCAAGAGCACAAGAAAATCCCCATGTAAGTGTAACTAGATGACCCTGATATCACAGCCACATCAACTATAGGTAATCAGGAAATGCAAAATAGAAAGTCACATTTTTCAAGTCATCTCTCAATAAAAAAGCCAACTTTGCTCATTGAGAACTTTTATTTTGTCAAAACATTATTGGTAATAACTGTAGCATCTTTCATCTCATAGCACATTCAGCTTTATAAAGCACTACACTATTTTGATGTATTTTTATTTATTTTATGTATATCAGTGTTTCCCCTGCATGTACATCTGTGTACCATGTTAGAGCCTGGTACCCACAGAGGCCAGAAGATGGTGTCAGATTCCCTGATACTGGAGTTATAGTGGGGTTTTAGCCTCCATGTGGGTGCTGAGCACCAAACCCTAGTCCTCTGCAGGAGCAGCCAGTGCTCTTAAACACAGCCATTTCTCCAGGCCTTGATATTTTTTTGAGGGCTGATAGGACAATTCAAAACTCAAGACTACTGTTTGGTTCATACATTCTGCTCTTTCCAAATGCTTGATATGTGTTCCAGGGGGTGAATGTCCCCCAAGACCTTTGATCCTACTTGGGCCACACTAAAATTGCAATCAGACAAGGCCTCCCCAAATCTCCCACATGAGCCAGGAATCATTTGCCTGTGTCCTAAAAGGAAGCACAGGAAGACCAGGCAAAAGTTTACAATTGCCACCAGAAACTTTATTTCTCCAACAGAGTGCACACATAGTCCAATCCAGATACAATAGAGTCACATATGGAATTTTAGGTCTTTCTAGAAGCCGTACAACAAAAGTAAAAAGAAACAGATGAGTTTAATTTTGACTACATATTATTTAGCTCATTATAGCCAAAATAGTATCGTTTTAAAAATTAACTATGTAAAATACTTATTGAGATATTCCAACTAATTTTCTTTCTTGTATCCTAAAAAATAGCAGTAATCCACCCATTCCCTTCCTGTTTCTCCCTCGGAAAAGCAAGAACTACTTTCCAGGTCTCTCAAAAGTGGACCAACCATTGGCCAGCAGGAGGGAGCACTCACAGCTGTGGCCAGTGGGACCCCAGTCTATTCCGTAGCTGTCCAGCAGGGGAGGACGACGGGAATTGGGAAACCTAGAAGTAGTAATGAGCTAGTGATGCTATTATTGCGCCAAGCTGTGAGCAGAGTGGACAGACTGCTTCCTCCCAACATGTCAGTCTAAGACCTTCAATGTTCAGGAAATAAAACTCTCAAAATGAAAAACAAAAGGCCCAGAAACCCTGAAATGAAGTCAGGTTCAGCCTCATATATATATATATATATAATTGTCAGTACCCAAAAGACTATGGGTTCTGAGTGTCAATTCTTACATTCACGCATTGTCTTCACAGTAATCTATAAAGTAGATAATATGGTTCCCATTATGCAGAGGAGGCACATGATTACCTCCAGGTCCTGCAGCCTGTAAGGAGTAGGGCTGGGACTGAAAGTCAGTCATCTGAAGCACGGACTTGTCCATATTTAATAGTAATGTCTAAAAGACAGCACTCATTTCAAGGGTGACACGAGAAAAGATTAAATCAGTTTCTCTGGAGAATTGTGAAGATACGACCAATATTTGGGCCACTTCATCTCTTAATTCCAACTTATTTGCTTTAAGCACAAAGTATCAAGGAGCCTTTTCTCTGTGTTAGTTCGTGTGTCGCTCCCTTTCACTTCTCCATGGCCCTGTGACATGCAAGTCTGAGACAGATTTTGGGAGATTGGCTAGTGTAAATGCTGATCTAAATTAAGAAATAATCAGATCACCCCTCACATAAAATCTTCCATCGGTGTCCATAAAACATTCCTTTAGTGATTAAAAAAGCATGTGGTGTTTAGGAAATGACACCATTTTGGCTGTCTGATATGAAATCATGCATGAGACCAACAACATATTTCAAACTGTTTATTCACTAAAGGAGTATTGTATAAATTAATAAATTCCTCCTTATGTTAATCAGCTGTTGTCATCATTTCACGGTGATAAATAGAAACTTTTTTTTCTTCCCAAAATGGAACAGAACACAGGAAACATATGGGACCTTCACTCTTGTCTCAAATGTTGTTTGTGTCTTAATTTCCAATCCGTGTCCAGCCACTTTCTCACCACTTTACTAATTGTGGACAGCTTCTGGTCATTTTACACTGTTTTCCACATGCCATTAGGATAAAGGGTTTACGCATTTTATTTAGTTCTGAAATTTCAAGAACAAACTATTGACTCACTCTAAAAATTCTTCATCTTTATAGATTCTCCAGGCTTATAATTTCTAGGTAAATCGGATTAGTGGAAATCTGATCTTTACAGTACAGAACTAATTCAAGTAAACAGTCCTGGAGTTTCCTGTACATTCCTAGTGTTCCTTGTGCAAAATGCATAGTGAATGGGCTTTGAAAGGCTGGTATAAAATTAGCCAGTTACATACATATGAAGTATAATGTTTCGGGGATGGATGAAGAGAAATTCAGCTGTCTCGGTATACCCACAATGAACTTTGCATGGTGATATTTAAGTGAATGTTCAAAAGAGCGAGAAGGCCTTTTATCATTGAGACATCATTAATGATGTTTGGCAATTGTTGGGATGGTTTTCATACACATTACCTTTTAAGAAAAAGCTTCTTTATATGAACAACTTCATTTGACATCTTTTTCTTTGCCAATTTGATACTATGCAGTAGTGACTGTAAATATAGACACAGTTACATTGGTTTTCAAAATGTATTCTGCAAGAACCATGACCTTTTTCCCAGCAGAGAATTTGAGCATTCTGT